AATCATGTGGTCCAGCGCCGGCTTGCCGCGTGTAACGGCGAGCGCGGGGTTGACCAAGCAGGGACCCACAGACCAACACAAAAACATGCCCAAAGCACCCGTTGAGAGCTCTTGGTTTGCCTTTCTCGATGAGCTTGCGAAGTGGGCAGATCTCATGATTAACAAGAATTCATTTTGAGAAGTCCGGAACACAGGAGCATCAGAAGCCGCTCTCCGAACAGGCTCTTGGCGCCACCCCGATTTTCAGCTCGGCCCTTTTCGAAATCTCACGACGTCGCGCTTGCTATGCTGCTCAGCAAAACCGCTCAATAGAAGTCTAAGCAAGATGTCTACTGCAATAGGGTTTCTCAACCAGACCGCGCAACTAGTTGGAAACCCACCAAATCCCACACAGTTGATTCATCTAATTGTGTGGATCGGTAGTGATCTACATGACCTATCGGGAAGGTTGGTTCCTTCGATAATGAGCACGCCGAATCATGCTCGATACAAATACAATTAATCGAAACGAATGACATAGTTTAATACAGTAGTCTCCAGGGCGGTAGAAAGGAGGAACTACTGGGGGTTATGAATGGGAGGCTGACGGGGCGGGCGTTCATCAACTTTCCTCGCTTTCAGATCATTTTCAGGCGGAGAATGAATCGACAAGCCTTCATCAGTCAGACCATTGCGCGAGGCTTCTACAAAGCTGAAGCGAGTCGACTAGTAGCAGGTCAAACTTGTGTCGAGAACATGGAACCAAATGACTCACAGAGCTCCGTGCGTGGTCACGGGCAGTCCACGAATCCTTTTTCTACACACCATAAGCACAAACAAGCCCATGATCAGTAGGCCTGAACGCACACTGCTGTTTGATCTCCAGTCGTGTGAGCGAAATACTTTTGGATCGCCCGACTCTTCTCGAGGTACCGAACCGCTCCGGAGAAGGCCGCGAGGACCCAAAGGCGCACTATCCTGAAGGGTGCGTTTAGAATGTCCCGACTAGGAAACTGAGTTTTAAGATCGCGACAACAAACCACTTTGGCACACGACCCACCGAAATGGTATGAGAAAGGGCGACCCGCCTGATGGGGTTGTAGTACCGCAAGAAGGGAATTAGATGCTTCTGGGGTCGCTGCACCGCCGTGATGAAGTCGACATCTATCGCTTGGGCGAGAACGGAGGATATCGGCTCCGAATTCGTACTGAATGTAATACTTGACGTGCATGGAACATTTGCGTCGGGCCTGTGTGTACCAGAGATGGCTCCCTAGAAGTGGTCAAGCTTGACCTTGGGAAACGAATTAGTAAGCTCACTGGGCACATTGGAAGGGCCAAGGCATTCTGTGAAACCAGAGCGGCAGTGGCAATGATGCCAATGAGTCCTAGGCTACGCATCGTAGGTGGCGAGGGTTGAGCGAGTTATGAGGGTGGATGTCAGGAAACGACGGGTGTATTCGAACGCCGGGGTTTATTTCAACAGGGGCGGCTTCGGATACAACGAATTTGGACCTTTGACCCCTATTAATCACCTGAGATTCAGCTAAGCGCCCACCCCCTTTTGCATGCACGGGCCTTTCTGGAGGGCCATATAAATGAGCATGCCCCCTCTGTCCAATTTACTTCATCCTCTATTCCCCTACCACCGTCACGCTCAAAACTCCTAACTTTGTCGCTCTCTTTAACATTTATATTCCGTTTGACGATGCGCACCTCCACGTCTCTTGTTACGCTCGTGGCCTTTATGGCTGTCGCCGGTTCTGCTGCCCCTATTCACATAGTAGAACCAATCGACCGTGTTGCTGCCCACGCGTATACTCACCAGGGCACACGTAGTCTCGTCCCCGAAGGGAAGCCGGTGAGTGCGCGTACGATTCGGGTCTACTCGCCAATGACCCCTATTATATAGAACTCTGTCAATGACCCAACGGCCCACGTTGAGAGCAAGACGACGAGCAGTGACAACAGTGTTTCGTATGTTTACGAGCAGAGGTGATACGATGCTTGCTAAATTGTTTTCTACAGCGCCGTCTTGGACGTTGGCAAGGTATCGCCCGACACGAGCAACCCTACCGCAAAGCTGCCCCCGGTTCATGCGAATGTGGACATAAATGATGGACCCGACGAGCAACCCCAGCAACAAGAGCCACCTCAGCAGGAGCCACCCAAGGGTCAGACTCCATCACAAGACCCCCAGCCATCGCAGAACCAATCCCAGCCCCCGAGTAGCGATCCCCAGCCCCAGACAACTGGCCCCGATCCTCATAATGATGACGAATCTGGAACCGCAATGGAGGTTGATGTTTCCAAGTGAGTCGTTTATTCCCATGCAGATTTCGGTCCTGATACTCGATTCCTAGCTCCGAACAGACTGAGGATGCCATCGAGTAGGTCGTCTCTGTGAGCTAATTTGGCCCTACTGACTGGGACAACCACAACAGGACAGCAAACATGGCCAAGGACGAGGCCAAGGGTATGGTTCTAGGAGCCCACGGCATGCTAGTCAAAGCACAGAACGAGGCTACCTCGGTTCGGGGGTGAGTGCGCCTCCTCTTTTGCAGCGCTCACTCCTTACGCCCACACAGGAAATTGGATCATGTTGACGAGGGGCTTGACGTTGGCATCACTGCCGGAGCCAGTGCCTCTGCCAACAAGGCAAGCGGTAGCCGATAGGTGTCCAGAAACGGCACAGGTTTACCGAGGTCCAAGTCAATTGTTCCTGCTTGTTCGAGATTTGAACTTGGCGCATTCGTTCATTTTATGCCGTGTTTTTACCCAACCATCATTTGAATCATTCCATTTATGAATAGTTTGTTGTATTGATCGTAAGCGGTACAAGTTCAAACTAACAACAGAGCAACCACGCCACCTCGCTATGAGCTTGAACAACCATTACCGGTCTTCGATGTCGTTGAGAAGGCGCAGGATACTGATGAAGAGGTTGATAAAGTCGAGGTACAGTGACACAGCGCCCATAATAAACTCGTCTGGACTGAGTTTCTTGGTGATGATGTAGGTCTGGACGAATATTAGAGATGTTGATTGACGGAACGTGATAAACTTACGTCAAACACAATGTATCCACTAAAGATGAGACAGCCACCGCAGGCGTAGATGATATCCATTGTCTTGCCAAACGGAATGAAAATGCCAACGATACCAGTCATCACTAGGGCGAGTGTCAGGATCGCTACTAGAGGCAAATTGATCACTTACTGAGTACGAGTAGGCCACCAAAGAGGTATGGCCCCATTCCTGAAAAGTCATACTTGCTCTGGAAAGTAAAGAGCGTGAGGCCAAGGAATACTCCGACGGTAATAAGCCTGTAACCAGTAAGTAAATAACAAGTCGTTGAAGGATTTTGACTTACAAAGCTTGAAGAACAATGACGCTGTCATAGTATGACACTATCAGTCCAACACTCCAAGATTCGAGAAGGGTAAAACTTGTGAGGAGCAAATAGTTGGTGGGGTGCGAGTGGCGCTTCCAATACAAGAGACCTAGATTAATAAGAGAGCCAAAAAGAGGGATGAATATGGCCCATTGGCTAGTGGCGTATTAGAACATATAATGTAGGAACATAATGCGACTTACTGAGCCTGCACCCATGCCACCGAGCGCTCACTCGACGCAAACCAACCAACGACAAAAGTGCCGAGCTAAGGCAAGAATGTAAGATTTCCAGTATTAAGATAGGTCAACAAGACGTACGATTTGAGCAAAGAGAATAGAATAAACCTATGATTAGGTCAGGAACTATTACGTCTCGGATGGAACCATGTCACTTGCCTTGCGAACAAACGCCTGCTGGATTTCGGGTGCAGACTCGGAGACTGTTACACCATACCTAGTAGCGATGAGCTGTATAGTTTTTAGTTGGATCGGAATGTACTCACTTGAAATCGTCTGGTAGGTCACTGTCGTCACTAAAGCCGTGAACGCCACCTGATGACTGGCCACGAGTCTCGCCGAGAAGTGGGTCAGACGAGTTGGCGGCCCCGTACTGAGTATACTTTTGAGGGCTCGAGGGCGCAGGTTGATAGCCTGGGGGTGCTTGTGGGTAGTTGGACATATTCGCAGTCGATGTGGGAGGAACAAGAGTGATGAACTGTTACGGAAGCGCCCAACTGGGGTAGATTGGAAATCAGCCACACAAGTACAAAGCTATGGTGCTGAGATGGGTATTTGATAGAAGGTTCTCGTCTAGTCTACCAGGCATGTGATGGCTGTCATATTCTATCGATTAGAATGTGAAAGAATATCCACCGAGCATAATATCGGCTATATGCGCCCAAACAAGGTCACTTCAAGTACGGTCGAACTACTACGAGGAAACAAAGAAACCCATTTCGCTTTGGCTCTCATAGTGTCTCTAAGAGTCGGCGAGGGGCTAACTGTGTCAGTTCATATCCCAAAACCCAACCGGGTAAAAAGTGACTTCAGATAGGATCGAGGATTTATTCTTGTTCGTAATCATATCCTTTTTTTCGATGCTGGTTTCCTTGAGTCTGTAAGCCGTAAGCTCTGTATAGGCTATTTTTGATATAGGCCCTTGTGAAACATTACGGATCGTTAGCATGCTAGTGTAATGGTCCTAAAAGTTGGCATCCAAACTCCACACAACACTCATCAATGCTAGGAGTACGAGTCTTGGCAGGTTTAAAATGATTTTGAACAAGACGTTCACCCAAAATTGCTTGCACAAAAGGGGTCTAGTGATCTCCCAGGGTCGTGTGTTGATGTGGCGAGATAAGCGCCGGAGGCTTGCTTGGTGGCGCCACACGGGGTACTGAAAGGCGCCACCCGGGTTTCCACCCCCACCATCTGAATTAAAAATAGGAGAAAATTGCAGGAGGCTTCTTGATGCTCTATCGAAGCCCTATGTATATTTAAAATGATATATTAACTCCCTTCGGGCGAGAAAAACGCCCATTTGCTTGTTTTGAGCCCGCAAACGCTCTAGCTCCATTTCTGATGCTAAAAACACGATTCCAAGTGGATTCCAAGCGTAAAAAGACTTCCCACTAGCCGACTTGAACGACTGACCTCGTCATTACGTAATGATGACGTAAGCAGGACTACTAGTGACGCGCTCTACCACTGAGCTAAGCGGGAGTTATTGATAATGCTTAAACGCCACATATATGCGCGTGATTCTTGGGAAATCGGCTTTTCTTTGCTTCCTGCAACGCTCAAATACGCTCCGGATATATTTCTCAAGCTTCAGAGCCCAAACATAGCCGGTAAGTGTCTGCTAGAAGTTGGACCCACGTGACACCTGCGCATACATGGTCGGACGACGCAAACTCGCATTTACGGTACCTTTCGCTATACGGAACGATAGGCTGACATCCTGTGAAATCTCTCCTGTCGTGTAGATGCGATGTTGGTGCTCTTTTTTGCGAGCAACTGAATGTACTTCAATTGACAAATCCGATGTGTCTCATGTGATTTGTGGAATGTATGCGACCTGCATTTCGCCTAGACTTTCAGATAACACACCAGCCTATTAGACACCGCCCTTTCTACGCGCAAAAACAAGGCAAGGTATTGCAAGGGCGCTCTTAGGCCCTTTAAACTCAGTTTTATACGCCTGTGACGCCTGTGACGCCTGTGACTTGTGTGGAGCATACACATGTGTGGAGGAGATGATAAAGTGCATCGGAATCCACTGCGCGCCAGCTATCTGAAAAGGCCCTGCCTGCCAGGCGAGTCTAGAACCCCCTGACATCCGATTCCTTGACCCGTCTAAAGCTCGCCGGCCGATCGCTTCCATACAACGTACTGTCAATCATCTCCAGACGATATACGGAATGTTCGGAGTCTTTTTAATGTGCGATCTGGTGAAAGCATGTTCTCTGTTGCTTGAGTCCCGGCCCGCTTTACGCTACCTGGTGCTGGGAGGTATGCGTGTGAGGGCAGGTAAACCAGCCAGTTTCGTGGATGTAGGTCACAAGGTGGCGCGTGGTTCCCTCTGAGGATGAGAGCGTGCGTAAAAAAAACGCTTAAGCTTAGATACTATCTTTGACCTGCCGGGAGTCTCAATTCCTGTTTTAGATCTTCTCAGTTTGACCGCCGCGATTCCTGTAAACCAAAGGCATAGCGAAGCAGTGATGGAAAAACAAGTATGGTGAGAAAGGCGCGATGATTTGGGATTTGAACCTTCGTGTAAAAATAATCTTGGCGGTTTCACTTGATGTAATACCTGGACATATACCTACTCTAGAGGATATACAGGGGATTATAACACTTTACAAAGAGGCTGGGAGACAAAAGCGTACACATTGGAACGCATCTATCCAGAGAGACCCCAGTTCAGAGGACGGAGAAAAAGTATGCATAAAGACTCACGAACAAAACGCCGAAATGCAAGTACACAGTTGGTCTTTCTGGATTTCTTGAATGAAAAAGAGTTCGGGCTGCAGGAGGGCTTGAGCTCGACTCCCAGACGGTACTCGGAGTAGGGAGAACAAGCCCGGGATCAATGATGGAGCGATTAGAAGGTAGTCATTCATATCACTTGTTGCTATAGCCAGGGGTTAATAGGATGGAATAAACCGAATTCTAAAAAATCTTAGTGGTGTGTGGTTGGCCGACTAAGAGGCAATACAGTAAGATTCTGGTTGCAACTGCAGCATACTCGGACTACTAGCTTCTAGGACTCTGAGTACCTCAGGTATTTATTTTGCTGTAGCGCATATGTTCTTCACAACTATATCAACACGGACTGTTTTGTGAAACGAAAGAAAACCGCGTCATAAAGGCCCCAAGAAAAGATAGCTAGAGTTGGCGCCTTGTTTACCGAGAATTGTAGGCCGAAAAGGTAGCTTAGTATATGTCTGGAGTAACGTCTATGAAGTCACGAAGTCGAAAATCGGGGAGAAAGAAATGTAAGCCAGAGCTTTCGTTCAATATTGTGCGTCAGGGGAAGCCCGAAGAACTTTATAGCACATAATGATGTAGCAACGCTAGTGTTGGCGCCCTAGAGAAGGTCAGGCACGGGTTCAAACGTTGTGCGTTCCACGCGTAAAGTACTGTACAAATTATATGTTCTAGCTGCTGGGCGGTTTGTAGAGCGCGTGAATGCGGTGAGAGGAGAACAGTGGTAGAGGAGTGGTTTTTCAGATTATCGATCCAGGCGTCCTGGAGCTTAGCTGCAGCAATACGCTTCATAAGGCTAAACTATAGGATTGTAACCAGTACGCAAAATCTTTTCTGCGTGTCGCTATCGCACAGATACGGTAACCCGAAAGAGACATTTTCAGTATTTTATGCCTAAAAACAACAAATGGCAAGACTTTAAAGCACTCTTATCTCTATGAGGGAGGTACGTAGAATAATGCTCAAGTGCTCGTTGCAATCCCATAGTTTAGTCCTATAAAGCATGTTGCGGCCAAACACTGGGACGCCTAGATTGATAGCTTGAAAAACTACCCCTCTGCCGCTTTCCCCCTCTCCCCATAGTCATATGCTCTACCCTACCAGTTAGAACATACGCATTGTATGGTACTCTGAGCATCGCGGCCTGAACCCGTTCTTACCCTTCTGGAGAATAATGAACGTGAGCGGTGCAACATTTTTGTAACCCAGGGTATATTCCTTTCATCAATAAATGAACCAAGGTTGAATTCGCCCGAGTGCTATCCAGGTGTATGCGCATATTCCCTAGTACCGGCGACCATGGAACATCAGTTGCGTCATGGAATTGAATCTGTTCGAGCTACATATCCAAAAATATAAACCATGTACAGTACACAAAGCGAGGTGGGCATAACAAAACAAGAAATGATGTTCAAGATCACTAGTCATTGGCACAAGCATCAGCAAAGCCGTCAGCGGCAACGGCTTCACGCTCCCTCTCCGCCACGCGCTTGACTCGCTCCACATCACGCGCGCATCGCTTGAGCTCTCGCTCCCAGAGGGCCATAGCCTCCTCTTCCTTGACGCCCGCAGTACCGCCCACGCCTGCATTACCAAGGCCACGCAAGACGTCTTCCTCTCGTACACCTTCGGCCAAACCGACAAGAGGTTCTCCCGCCCCTGCAGCGCCTTTCCGCCGACTTGGGGTCCCTCGACTTGGGGTCGTCCCGGCCATGGTTCCGATTACACTGACAAGACCGCCGGTTTCCAAAACACCAAGCAAATCTTGAAACTCGCTCCTCGAGACAGGTGGAAAAGTGCCGTCCGAAGAAAGGATCGCGCTGTATGCGGCATGAAGCACGGATGCTTCGTACATCTCCGACTCGCTCGCACGACCGCGCTTGGTAGGAGAGGTTTGCGCAGCAGCACGTCCAGTTCTGCTCGGCGTACGGGGAGCTTTACTCGGAGTTCGTAACAGGCTGTTGGCCGACTTGACTGGAAGCAGTACGAGACCCGCAGCAGCTCGACGTCGGGCAACAAGAATGGAGACCAGTACGAGGCGAGCTTGCATCCCCAGCCCTCGGGCATTGCCAACTGCTTGACCACCTGCGAGCCCATCGCGTCCACGCAATGCATCAAGCACATGCTTCATGGTGGCGACGCCGCTATTCATGGATCCAGTTGCGGGTCCAATTGTTTTGGACGGCGTTGTCGGAGCAAACGGATTGACTTCTCGTTCGGCCAATTCAATAGTTCGCCTCACGGCATCGAGTGCTGCTCGTAAATCTCCAGTCTGCGCAGCGATCTTTTTGGAAAGAAATGCAAGGGCAGTGGGCGCGATGACAAGAGATGCACCTGTTGAAGTGGGTGTAGACGTAGGTGCGGTGGGATTAACTCTGGCCAATGTTGACAGTGTAGCCAGACGACCTTGGACAATCTTGACAATGTCTTCCGCTGTATAGGCTGGCATGTCAAGTGTGAGGAAGTTTGTCGGTTGCGACTGGGGGTTGGAAGCGCCAAGAGTAAGAGTGTTGGAGATCCCGATGATGCGGAGGGTAGAGGACGCTGCTTCTGCAACCGCAAATATAGAGGAAAGTGCCGACGGAGATTGTAGAACAAAGTCGAGTTCGTCCAGGACAACCACACTATTCAAGAGTTAGAACAAGATGCGAATGTACTACAAAAACTTGCCATTTTACACCTGACGTTTTCAACGCGGTTTGGAACCGCTGTTTCTCCGAGTTGCCAGCTTTCCCTCTAGAAATCCCAAAACCGCCCTCTTCAAGGACTCGAGCCCACACAGAGTTTTCTTCCTTTAGACCAGTACAGTTGACATATATTCCTCGAAGGGTATCAGTCGCAACACTTTTTAGAATTTCGCCAACAAGTGCAGTTTTTCCCGTCCCAGGTGCACCAGAAATGTAGGCAGCCGAAAACCGGCCAGTCTCGTTGAAAGCCTCGACAATGAACGACGACAAGAATCCTGTCAGGATGCTTCGTTCCTTCTCCCTTCCAATAACCTCTCCAGGACCAGGGCGAAGCAACGCACGAGCACGGGCATGGAGACTCAAAGTAGTGGTGGGGGGCGTTGCAGGAGGGGTATGCTGTAGTCGCGACACGAGAGAAGGAAGCGGCGCAGGAGCAGGGCCAGTCTGTGCCACCTTTTTGACTGAGGATTTCCTAGACTTCGGCGCTGGCTTGGGAGGTGTCCGAGTTGGCGAGGCGAAGCGATTCGAGGACTTTGCTGCAGAAAACAAGTTATGAACAGCCAGCAGGTAGCATGAGACAAACTAACCTGACTTTGGTATCAGCATTTCGTCGTGCTCCCCCTCAGGTTCTTCACCAGCGTCAGCACCATCTGCTTCTTCTCGTACGGTGGCTCTCGCCTGTATCCTAGATTTGCGCTCCGGGGTTAGGCGAGGATCGTTTTCCTTGCCAGCCACCAGACGCACGACAGTTCGAGGGCGTTTACGAACCGGAGACAGAGCGGATGAAGGAGTCCTGGGCGTATCTTTGGTTGGGAGCATGGGTGAAGAAGCAACATGCGACCGTTGCCGTTTGCCTAGGTTGGTTGACATATTGTGCTAAATGTTAAATGTAGTGATGTGCAATGTGTCCAAAATATTTTTTCCCTCTCAAGGGTCGACCAACGGGTAGCGGAGCAACTCGCAAGGAAGCGTGTGGCAAAGGATGCGGCGGGAAATATGGTCGATGGAGGGATGTTGTGTTCAAATTCAAATTCAGATGTCAATATT